ATGTGGAACATGAGCACCAATAAGCAGGGGTAGAAAGCGTCCCAAACACCACATCTGTGAAGCTGGAAATACATGATTGTATGACTAACTGAGGTCAASTTCATCATTAAATACTTGAAAATAATTGACAATAATTTCTTTAACTGACCTCTTTGCTTTAGAGAATTTGACTTTGAAGTCAATGTTTGATGGGCTATTGTTGAGGGCTTATTTGAAAGATCTGTCAAACCATAATCAAAGTCCTTTATCCATTGATTAAGCTGTGCCAAATCAAAGAACTTCAAAGAGATAGCGTGATTTATTCAGAATTGAATTGAAGTTAATACCAGTACTTGTAAGATCATTTTCAGAATTTTTGATGGCATCGCACTGCCTGTTATGGTCTGCAGCATTTCTCAAGTCAAACTCACATTCATGGAACTAAACATAAACAGAATATTTTATTAAATTTGATTAGCACTTTATGCTGTAAGCTAGTAGTAAAGTAAAGTAGCTGAGTAACAAGAATTTTCCTTTTAATCACAGATAGCGACAATTTGTCAGGAGAAGATCTGATTTCGCTAATGAACGACGAAAAAGAACTGAGATTCTTTTTCCCTGTTTATCGAGAGAGAAAGATTTTCAGAGATGCAATAAGCAAGGTAAGACTTATGTACCTCGTGGCATGTTCCCGCGAACAACTCCAACGCATGCGCATCTCATACTCCAATTCGGTCAGCGGTTTTTGAGCATGCGCAATAAGTAGTGGGTCACTGGCGCGATTTCGTATATGAACCGTTAGATCAGAGATGGGAATATTTGCTGGATTTACAGATATTTTTCGTTATTTATATTTGTTTTCTTCTTCAGGTGGCATTTGTAATTGTGAAAATTAATTGATTTTTACTTTCTCTTGTAGGAATGCGGCTGTATTAACGATGAAACGGCTTCGGAGACGTCTTCGAGCACCGCAGATGATTCATTAGTTGTGAACTTAAGCTTAAGTATTAATGAGGAGATGTCGACATCTACTCCAAAACCAACCCGAGAAACAGTAAGATAACTAAATCCTTTTTAAAGACTGTTGTACTAGTGTTGTTGATTTGCTGTTTTCGAGTAAGAAGTTTATAAAACCGTTTTGCATAAGCTCATCAATTGGCTTTGCAATCAACCTTAACTATGCTTAAGCTTAAGTACGTTTAATTTTGAATTTATGCTGCAAGCTAGCTATAGCTAAGCGTAACATTTTCTGATTTCATAATAGCACGACAACGAGAAGCAACATGTGGCAGTGACACCGAACAATAGCCCTTCTACATCAAAGGTAAAACATATATTTAAATTAAATATTTGTTAGTTCAAAATTAAACATGGACTTCTCATGACTACATAGACGACATACTTATTACTTACTTAATAAGTTTTAATTATGCGATTTCATTTCATTGGTGTACGATCAATAAAAAACTTATTATATATATACATACATATAAAATAAAATAGAAAATTACAGAACAAACTACTGTATTTCCATGATGTAATTTTCACTACAATATTGTTTCGTATGGTCCAGAGGACCACACTCATCAGGTGGAACCAATTACATGACCGTTAAAATCTAAAGGTTTACATTAAGTACAAGTTTGCAATTGACGCTAAAGTATAAAATTACAGATTCGTGATGTTATAGATACAAGAGCGTGACGGATTAAATGTTTATCCGTTGTAAAATCTTAAGATCTTAAGAGGTAATTTTATACTTTAGCGTCAATTGCAAACTTGTACTTAATGTAAACCTTTAGATTTTAACGGTCATGTAATTGGTTCCACCTGATGAGTGTGGTCCTCTGGACCATACGAAACAATATTGTAGTGAAAATTACATCATGGAAATACAGTAGTTTGTTCTGTAATTTTCYATKTTATTTWATAYAGCTCCGACTTTTATATTGTYGTTGAGCACTTTTTTAGTTTTTTGWTGAAATTTTTCATATATATACATACATATATATATATTCTAGGAGGGAAAAGAAAAGTCACCAAAAAGTGATGAATTTAAAAAGGTAACTGAAGTTGCTATTTGACCAACAGAGTTTTCTATTGCTTTGCAATTTTCTATTTGATAACTCTTTGTCCGGTAATACTTTTGTCTACATTTTGTTGTTTCGATCATCAAAATATTTGATCTCTTCCAACACCATGTCTCGGCTAGTGTTTGTAAATTTGAACAACACATTTTCTCATTTTCTTCTTGTGTTATGATTGAGGTATATGCACGATGAGTGCAAGGCCTTGCTTCTTGGTATCTCATTGTAAACATATGCATTGCTCAGTTGTGCATAATTGTTAATGGGATTGTGTTATTGAATTTTGTTATGAATGAGGTTTTGTTAAAATTACAGTAACACTACTTGATATCATCTCTTTGGAATACAGTCAACTACATAAATTACTATATGAGATATCATGTTTTACTTTTTCTCCAGAAAACTTTATCAGTTGGTGTTAAAAAGAGAAGAAAGGAGAGACGGAAAAAACAAAAATTAGAAAAAAAGAGACTTAAGAAGGAATTAAAAACCAAAAAGAGATCAGAAATTTTGAATCAAGTAGAAGATCTCAAAGCCAATAATAGCTTTATTCAAAAGTCATATGAAAAATCCTGTATGCAAATGAAAGCAGTATATCAGAAATATGAAAAGTTGAAGCATTTATTAGGCACTGTAAAAACTGAAAATCAAAATATCAAGACAAATAGCTTAAAGTCAATTAGAGCTGAACAGCTTATATATGCTAAAGATGATTTGAATTCAGACATCATCTTAGGTAAAGGAAGGTTTGGCATTTGCAAACTTATGTTTATGAGTGTTTCCGGCAGTAAGGTTAGGGTAGCTGCTAAGCATTACAAAAAAAGAAAACACTAAAGAAAATGTATTGAAAGAGGCATTCCTGTTGACACAGCTAACACATATTGCATTTCCATATTTTTTTGGTGTTGCCGTTATTGACTCAGTGTATGTACTGGTACTAGAATTTTGTGCAATTTCTGAAAGAAGATTGTGTTCCTGTACAGTCCATCAAATGCTCGCAGCAGAAGGATGCCTTCTGTCAGAACAAAAATGGCTGAACTTTTTCATGAAGTGTGCTGATGGATTCGCTTTCCTTCATTCAAAAGGCATTGTTCACAATGATATAAAATCAGACAATATATTGCTTATCGAAGATGAGAGTAGACAGTTTTTTCCCAAAATCATAGATTTTAATAAATCTAAATACACACAGCAGTTAGAAAGCACTTTGCCTTTAGAAATGCCACAAAATGAATGCAGAAAATGCAAAGTCTTGTATCCCCATAAAGATCCAGCTTTATATGATGGGATTTATATTCCTTGCGAACAGTCTGATGTTTATAGTTTTGGTTATCTTGTTAAGCAGGTGACAAAAACATTGAAGTCAGAATTAATGTTTAGATTGTCAACCACATGCATGAGTACATATAATCGGCCAGGTTTTGCAACAATAACAGAAGATATTAAGGGTATTTGTAGTTTGAAACTCTAGGTTTTTTGTATTGTCAGTGCTTTTTTGTGTTATTCATTTTAATAAAATACTTATGAATGAGTCAAAAGTGTAATTTTCATTTCCTTTTTTTTTT